TATATATATATATATATATATATATATATATATATATATACATTTGTTTTATATTTGGGATTGTGGGAAACGGTATTTCGATCTCTCTGTCTGTACACATAAAGTTGACTTTGACTTGGACTTATTTTTCAACTTTAAACAGAGCCAGACAAGCTGTTTCGAATGCCTCCAGGCTTTATGCAATTCTTTTTAAGTCTTAATGTCTGAAACAAAGCAAATAAATGAATTAAAAACAACTTGTAGTCAAACAAGCATGCATCAAATTAAAGACACTATCAACTAGATTGAATTTAATTGTGTGCATAAAGCACTTTTAGGATTAAGGGTGGTAGGGAGGAGGTGAAATATCTTGCTCGTGTTGCCTTCTTTTAGTTGGGCGCCTTACAGTTACATCCTTTTATTACCGCATATATATATATTGAAACATGTTAGCTTAAATAAAATGTTGACCTGCTATGCTGAGTACACTCAACTTCACCTTCATCAAACGTTGCATCTAAGATTGTAAAAAGCTAATATTTTTGACTGACTGACTTACTTGCCAGTGAGAAGTTCAAATATGAGGATTCCTAAGGACCAGCAATCAGCTCCAAAGTCATGACCTTTGTTCATAATGACTTCGGGGGCCACATATTCTGGAGTCCCACAGAATGTCCAGGTCTTCTTTCCAAGGCCGATCTTTTTAGCAAAGCCAAAATCTGCCTGAGGAAACACAGAGGAATTAAGAATATATGTTAATAATATACACATTGCATAACACTCTTTAAATATTACAAAAAAGATTTAAAACAAATGGCTTACCATTTTGACATAACCCTCAGCATCCAGCAGAAGGTTTTCAGGTTTCAGGTCTCTGTAGATGATGCCCAAAGTATGGAGGTAATCAAAGGCCTCTAAGACACAACCAGTACAAAACCTGGCTGTGGGCTCTTCAAAATAGCTCCTGGTAGGTTAAGAAAAGAACCACACAGGAATGGAATCCATTAATACACAAAGACAGTTAGGAAAACTACCAGGGTGTTGTGCATCTTAAGCCCTACACCAGCGGGGGTCCCCAGGAAAAGATATTGAGCTCTATACAGCAGAAGCACATGGCAATACCATAGTCTTCTTCCAAAGATAATGGAATTTTGTGTACAGTTTGTTTGATACAACTCCATATTGATCTCAATGCGTCATGGTTGCTTCAGAGAACACTTGTGGTGAGAATTGGTGAGTTGGTTTTTGCTATTTTGCTATCTGATGCATTTCTTTAATCTCTGCCAGATTCAATGTCATCACTGGTCCTTTAAATTCATCTGAAATGTAAAACTGTCTGGACTCTAGATGTAGGTACATTTGGAGAGATAGATAGCAACTCACATTTATGGTGCATTCCCAACCCAACCCCTCATTTGTTAGGTTAAATTCTCACCTTGCAGTCATGCCAGGATGTTCTCCAGGGTTTGTCAGTGCACTGTGGATGGTTTACATGTGCAACCATAGTCTATCGGTGCAACAGACCGAAACACAGCCGCCAAAATTGTAAATTGTCTGTACTCATCTAATTATGGTCTCATGTTCCCAGTTAAGTATTCTATTACACTGTGGCTAGAGCACCAGAAATATGAAGCATATTGCTGTAAACAGAATTCACCGGAGGCTGACCAAAACACAACAAAAAGGAAATCTCAATCTCAGAATGTCTGAGAATAGCTGTATGCCATTATCAAAGTGTTTCGTTAGATCTCATAGATATTACAAAACAATTTTCCCTACTTCCCCATATTTTTCCTGTGAAGATATTTGTGTGTGCATGCATACAGATGCTCTCTCCCTAACAACATTCAAAAATAAATTGACTTATTACTTCTAGTGATTTTGAGTAAACTAATCTTTTAAGTTATATGCATATTTTCAATAAAGTTGTTTATAATGTAGCAAAAGAACCTACACTCACATATCCCGCAGCACAGTCCACAGCTCTCCACCAAGACACACCTCCAGCAGCATGTAGACAAACTTATCATCCCGATATGTTCGGAATAACCTGAAATACAGCCAACAGACTCTTTGTTAACTCCTGTTCGCGTTACAATGTTAATATTCTGTACATTTGAGGTGCACCTTTAGTCAAAACTGCATTCATGGTTTTTATTGGTATTGATGTCCTGTATTGGTAATGCAAATCCTAATAATATTAATGGTGAATAATGGTTGTCATAAACCCAGGACATGCGTCTAATGCACTTCTATGGACTAACGAGGGTTTACAGAGTGAAGCTGCAGATCAAAAATACTGCTACTGCAACTCTTCAGAGAAAAGCCCTTGTTATTCTATGAACTTGACAACACATGACGACACATTCAATATAATTGACATACTTAGATTTAATTGATAATAAAAGAGCTCTGAACTGATATAGAATAAAGGGAGTGTAAGGAGGAGTGTGGTATTAGTGAAGGAGAGTGAACATTACATGATGGCTGACCTTTCCTCTGAATGACAGTCAACACACTGCTCACACAAGCCTTTGTTCTGTAAAGTCATAGTCCAGATAAATCTCAGTGCAGTGGATGGACCCGGGTCAGCAGCATTCTCCCAGCAGGTTCCTTAGCAACTCCACAGAGAAGCTCAAACACCACCACCACCCCCCCATTTCATCTTCTCCTTTCGGAATACAGGAGGTTTGTGTTGCCTAAAATCCTCCTGCCTCTTCTCTTGGACCTTTTTGTGCTTCCACTAGCTTAGATAGCAGACAACAACTGCATATCTTTACAAAAAGGTACGCTGAAAAAAGTGCAACGACTGTGTCATTTAATCAAAGTACATTTTTAAATTGGTCCAATTAAGAATCATGGTTTCCGTTTTTGACATGGTTTTTTCCGTTTGCCCAGAAGCAAAACACATCCCCCCTGAAATAACTTAAAAACAATATTTAACCTAAATCGTTATTTTCACTTCAAAGCATGTCACATGACCACGTGACGTACAAAGCAAGGTGACTTCAAGATTTGCTGCAGCCGCCATTACACCGCTACCCACTGTCTGTGAGAGTGTCTGACCCAAAAACAATTTTAAATAAGGTAAGGATTTGAAATAGTTTTTTTTTTTTTTTTTAAACTATTTTTAAATGTTTATCCATTTAGTGTTGTGTCAAGATAAACAACTAATTTACCATCTGTCTTTGTATTTGTGTGGAGTCTATTTTTATATAACATTACAAGATTCTTATTATTACATTATTTGCTAATTGTGCTCATTGTATGTGCTGTGATTTAGGAATAAATGGCCAGATACAAGTAAATGCTAGAATGTTAAGCGTGATTAATCACATTAGTATTAAGATAATAGGAGCTTACTTGCATTACCATCTGTACAGTAAACTAAGTATTTTTAAATGTATCTGGCTAGGTTTATGGTTTTAATAAAGGCATAATATTAAAATATACT